TTTGGCAGGTGGCTGGAGTGTTGGTTGTCCTCAGAATGCCGGGGCCGCAGGTACTTTCTATGACGCATACGTACTGAGTTTACGGGTGGACAATGACAATATAACAACAGAAACAGAAACTCCTCTGCTGGATTTTTCTACTTCCCCTCTCTGGACAAATGTTTACGTCGAGAACAATGCTAAAGTTTTAGTCCCTCTACTTTGGTCACGAGTTCAGGTCTGTATCTTGTTCTTCCCAAGATTATCTATTATTTGTGTGTGATGGTGAAAAGTGGACTCGGATTTTCATGATTCTTCATATCCGATGACTTCCCAGAGTCACATCATTCTTGTTATATCACTAGTTACAAGTATTCTAATTTTCAAGCAAATGATTGTTTTTCTTTTGGTGAACAAAGTGTTAATTCTGTTCATAATTTCTTTAAAAAGGTGAGGGGCCAAATTAGTCTACTTTATGGAAGCAGCATCATCTTTGGGTTGTCTAATTATCCAGTCTCTGAGTTTGAGCTTGTAGCAGAGGAACTTCTAATGAGTGATTCAATAATAAAGGTAAAGCTTCATGAGAGGATCTTATATGCTCTCTAAAATTTCTTAGTTTCCCTTTTCTCTCGGTAGTCACTGGCTAGCAAGTTGTTGGACGAGTTTTGTGACCCCTCCTATTTAATTGATAATATTCTATTTCTTTTCTAAATAAATCTTATTGAGATACACAAGCTGTATTAACTGTCCTCCTCTCCCTGCTTCAAATCCAACAAAACTGTATTGAAGGTTTATGGTGCACTTAGAGTATCTGTGAAGATGTTACTCATGTTGCAATCTGAAATCCAAGTAGATGGTGGAGGAAGCACAGTTGTTACTACATCTGTCCTTGAAGTCAGGAATCTTGTTGTTCTGAAGGTAATCATTAGAAGTCTACCTGATACATTGATACTGACATAGTTAGATTCCTGGTAAATTAACATAAACGCTTCCGTACATACCTCTTTTGCAGGGAAAGTCTGTTATCAGTTCAAATGCAAATTTGGCTTTATATGGTCAGGGACTACTAAGGTTGACTGGTGATGGTGATGCAATCATAGGCCAGAGGCTTTCCTTGTCACTATTCTATAATATTACGGTAAGATGTTGATATTTGAAACATCTTGTGCCAAAATCAAGAGGGAGTAAAAGATGAGAAAGGAGAATCTTCATAAAACATAAATAACATGGGTAAAACGGCATTTTTTTATAAGACTTGGAGCTTGACAAAACATACCATCGTGGTGGAATTTTTGCAATTTCTTGTTCCAATTGGACTTTAGTATGAGAGAGCAAGTGCTTGTTTTCTCCAACATTTTCCTTGGATTTAATTGCCTTCTCAGTACTGTTGTTTCCCCTCAAGCTCTGAAGGCTTTCTATTTTTATTTTAATTTTGATTGTTATACTTCTGGGTAATTCTTTTATTATCATGTAACTGTTAGGTTGGCCCAGGATCTCTACTTCAAGCCCCCTTGGATGACAACAGAAGTAGAAGCAAGTATGATGTCTTACTTGCTCTGCTGTATTGTTTTGTGTGCAATTTATTTTTGTTGTTTCATTTATGGCATTTTAACCTCCTTGACTCCAAATAGGGTGACTGAATCTCTGTGCGACAGCACGAACTGTCCAATGGATTTGATTACTCCACCTGATGATTGTCATGTCAATTACACGCTATCCTTTTCGCTACAAGTAAGAGAAACTTATCTTGTACTTTGTCTACTGCCAATAATGCGTGTGGCTTAGATGTATGATTATACATTAAAAATGTATCTAAAAATGCATCTTTTTATTAATTCGAGATTCCCCCTTTTCTTGCATGATTGAGCTATGAAACGGAACAAAATTATCGAGAGGATTCAAGGTAGAGCTATGAAACGAAACAAAATTATCGAGAGGATTCACACTTCCTTTACTTCTTTAAAATATATTTCTTTTTGGATTATGTCAATATTTCATATTTTTTTCCCACCCAAGGGTGTGGCAATGAAGTGGGTAATAACCTCGGGGACCTTCAAATTCCAGAAGAGACAAAAAATAGCTAGGTAATTTCTTTCCATCTGCTTAAGCTTTGGTGGTTAGAGTTATTTAGTACTACCGAGGTGTGCACAAGCTGGACAGCACTATATATACACACACACACACACACACACACACACAGAGACACATACACACATATACAACAACACCAACTCAGTCCCGTACAAGTTGGGGTCGGCCATATGAATTCTCTTTCCCTTCATTTAACTCAACTCATATACACAAAAAAAAAGGGCACCCGGTGCACTAAGCTCCCGCTATGCGCGGGGTCCGGGGAAGGGCCGGACCACAAGGGTCTATCTTACGCAGCCTTACCCTGCATTTCTGCAAGAGGCTGTTTCCGCGGCTCGAACCCGTGACCTCCTGGTCACATGGCAGCAACTTTACCGGTTACATACATATATATTTAATATTTTTGTCGTTCTGGTATATCACACAGTTTTCATCTGTTACTCTGCTTGATAAAGCTAACAATGGTCAATTGGGATAGATGCCCTGTTTAGGCTCATAGAAATAGCCAGCTGAATTCTGTTATGCTTTTGCCCTCTTCGATTTCTTAGGCCCCCAAAAAAGATGCACATTTCTTGAGATTGATTGTTCATTTCCTTGTCTTAATATATTAATATTTAGGATTATAGAAAATGGGTTAAATGAATATCAGTGATGCTTTCACACTCCTTGATTTTTTCCTGTCCCTAGGAAATGAATATTAGTCATTTCCTTGTCTTGCTTGGGGCTAATTTTTCATTTCCTTGTCTGCTAATGGCAGATTTGTCGAGTGGAGGACATTCTTGTCACAGGCATCATCAGGGGTAGCATTATTCATGTTCACAGAGCCAGAACTGTCATTGTGGACAATGATGGTGCCATAACTGCCTCTGAATTAGGTCATGACGTTCAAGCATTATTGGCATTTGCCAGTGATTTTTCATTTTTCGGCTTTCTTTTTTCTTGGGCGCTTCTGATTATTTTGACTCTGCTCCTGTGCTGAGCCCTCGAGAGCAGGATAGAGGATTCTAAAATGTCTCATCTTATGGTTCACTTTCAGGTTGCAGTAAAGGTGTTGGCATGGGAAACTACTCAAATGGAGCAGGTGG